GGTTAGGGTTAGGGTTAGGGTTAGGGTTAGGGTTAGGGTTAGGGTTAGGGTTAGGGTTAGGGTTAGGGTTATGAGGAGTGTAAAGGGTCAATAAAACTAAGTGAGATGAGTTTTTCTCGGTGAGTCTTGTGTTATGGTTGCAAGCCCATTTCAAAAAAGTCATCAGACACAAGGATTCAGTGTCTTATAGAAGCTGTGGGGAGCTGTCACCAGGAGTGACATGTGTAGTTACACAGAGGGAGGCTATCACATGGCTTTCCTCACACAACATGTTACAGAGAGGAAGTGTACATGATTTTATTTGTGTGACAGGGAGGTGTACAGGGCCTAAGTCTCTAAAAATAGGGGCTTAGGGTGGTGGAGGCCCTTTTGAGGGGTTTCCTATCAAAGAACAGCTATCTACAAGAAGAAGGCAAGAAGCTAGATAGTCTCCATGAGGGTTTTAAACCCCTGACCATAGTTTGCAGGCAATAGTCAGTCCCCTTGGTTAGAGTTAGGGTGCAAAGCCAATGGGGATGAGGAGAGTATCGGCGAGCGGAGATAAAGTAGGGTCAAGAGACCTTCGTTCCATAGAAGTAGAAAACGATGGAGCGAACTCGCGGGTGTACTAGTTTATAGCTAAGGAGGACAAAAACGATGCGACCATCGATTGTGAGAGCGAACATAGGCAACGATGACGGATTGGTAGCAGCCTGGCCATGAAAAAGGGCATTCAGTCGCTACCAACCGATCGATCGTTGATAGAGGTTGCACCCAACAGTCGAGGTGTACAAAGGAATCATATCCCCAAGTAGGGGGAGCAGAAGAAATACAAGTCACCCGTCGGTCGGGTACGAAGCGATATGCTTGAAACACATCCTAGAGTGTTTCGGCAGGGATCGGACTTGTCGTCATGTCCTTATGTAAGGGAAGAGAGGTGTAGTCCTCTGGATCAGCCCCATTGGGGGCTGTCGCGAAGAGGCGAGGAGGTGCACCTTCGAGTCTATAGATCGTTTTGCGATTCGCAGCATTAAGCCGGTCCCCTAGGTTGCGTACACGATGAAAACACATCAGTGGACGTCGTCGTTTTCCAAGGAAGCGCTGCTTACTCACAGCGTTTGAGATGCCCAGCAATGCATTAAATGCATGCTTCATGCGTAATTTTTCCCAGATGGGATTATACGCCGCATGGAAGACCAAAGGGGGTTTATCAATCGAAGGCCGTTTAGGGCGGTCGACCAGTAGTTGCCGGCGGTTCGCGTAGTGAACCGTGCGAAACGCAGTACGTAGCCATCCGGGTGGGTAGCCCCGAGCGCGAAGGCGATCGTAGAACAAAAGCGAAACCTTGCAAAAGGCAGCTTTAGTCGAGCAGATACGAGCGTAGCGAACTAGCTCGCCTTTGACGAAGGCCAGTTTCACTTTCGGGGGATGGTAGGATGACCAAGGAATGTACTGGTAGGCATTAGACGGTTTCTGGTAGACCGATGTCACAATCGATCGTTTCAGAGAGTTAGGATCCTCTACGACTTGAAGGGTAATGTCAAGGAAAGGAAGTGACGTTGAACTCACCGTCCAGCTGAGTTCCATAGTCCGAAGCGTGTGATTAACAAAGGTTTTCACATGTTCGACGTCGGAGATGGAGCCTTTGACAATAACTAGTATATCGTCGAGGTAGCGGCCATAGTACAAGAGACTCGCTGGTTTCTTGTCTAAGGTGAGTGATTCGTAGGCAGCTGCGTAGAGATTGGCGAAGGCTGGAGCGCAAGCCGTTCCCATAGCAGTGCCATTCACCTGTCGGTAGACGGAGGAACCGAAGGCCAGGTAGTTATTTTTAAGGATAAATTCCAGAGACTGGCCGAGAACGTCGGCGTCGTCGTCTGAACGTTTATGTATGGAAGCCATCCATCTAACAATCTTGATGCCCTCGTCGGTGGGAATCGAGCTGTAGAAGGAGGTCATATCGGCAGTCAGCAGCCAGATCTTATCCGAGGATGTAGGAAGAGCGAGGGTTTCCAAGTGTCGTAACAACGCCTTGGAATCGCGTAATATCCACGGGTAGGAGGAAAGAAAAGGCCGTAGCTGAGTGTCGAGCCACTTACTAAGATTAGTGGTGATCCACTTGTGTGACGGTACAATTGGCCGTCCACGAATAGGTAGTTTGTGGACCTTCGGTAGAACGTAGAACTCGGGAAGAGCCGGTTCCGTGAGGTTAAACCGAATAAATTTCCTGGCCTGTTTGGTGAATGTTGAGCGATCCGTCAGTTCCATGAGGCGTTGGGATAAAGCTACAACATCCACGGAGGCAGATTCGTAGGTCGATTGATCAGCAAGTTGTCGCTTACATTCTTGGATATACCATGAGGATGGTAGAATACTCATGCCGAGATTCTTATCACAAGGTTTAAATATGTAATCGTTATGGTGAATAAGCTGATCGAAAGCTTCTAGACGTTCGGAGGAGATCGAAGGTCGCCAGTCGCTTGTCTGTATCTTTCTCAGGGCGATTTGGAGGAGGGATTTGCCTACGCGAAGCCCTTCCTCCACATCGGGATGATTCTCTAAATTACCGATCGATGTGCCGGTTTTAATGTGGAATTTAGCAACAAAGTCCGCGTCATCCTGTTTATCCGAGAAGAGACATCGAATACGAACTGACCTAGCGAAATCTTCCCACGAATGTAGAATTCGTTGGGGGATTTCATACCTCGGTTTGGGGCAGAATTTTGAGTTCAGCGCTAGAAAGCGTTTGGTTGACTCATCGAGGGGGATTTTGAAAGGATTTTGTAGAACGTTGTTGGTGACACGCGTTTCCAACCAATAGATATTAGAGTGGATAAACATAAAGCGTGCCCGTTCTAATCCGGAAAGTAGAAAGAATCCGTCCGGATAGGTTTCCAGACGGCGGATATCGAAATCCGGGGGTGTAGAGATGCATAGTCCGTTTCGGGGTGGATTATGCATATGCATTTGTGCACTCGGGGGGTGACGTGTACGCTTAGATAATCTAAGTGTCGTGCGAGTTGACGGGTTATCTAATTCTACTAACCCAGTCGTAGACGGAATATCCGTGCTCACAACGGTATTATAATCACCTCTCGGTACAAAATGAGGAGTGCCGTTTACAAGGTTAACGGTAAGTGGACTACTTTCGAGTCGTAGCAAATCACTATTATCTCCTTTCCACCATTCTATCGGCCTTGACGGCCCTTTCCTTTTTCTTTTTCGGGTTGTCCGTTGAATTGACCTCCCGATTTCTTCTCCTTCATCCCCACAGTCATATCCCTTC